ATAACAATGTTTGGTATATTGTTAATATTCCCCTATAAAACAATGATTGATATGGTATTTAGTGAATATTCCCCTATATAACAATGTTTGGTGTATGGTTAATATTCCCCTATATAACAATGTTTGGTATTTAGTGAATATTCCCTTATATAACAATGTTTGGTATTTAGTGAATATTCCCCTACATAACAATGTTTGATATTTAATGTATAATCCCCTATATAACAATGTTTGGCATTTGGTTGATATTATCCTATATAACAATGTTTGGTATTTAGTGAATATTCCCCTTTATAACAATGTTTGGTATTTAGTTAATATTCCCCTATATAAGAGTGTTTGGTATTTAGTAAATATTCCCCTTTATAACAAAGTTTGGCATTTGGTTAATATTCTCCTACATAACAATGTTTGGTATTTAGTGAAAGATTTTCTTATATAACAAAGTTTGGCATTTGGTTAATATTCTCCTATATAACAATGTTTGGAATTTAATATTCCCCTATATAACAATGTTTGGTATTTAGTGAATATTCCCCTATATAACAATGTTTGGTATTTCGTGAATATTCCACTATATAACAATGTTTGGCATTTAGTGAATATTCCCCTATATAACAATGTTTGGTATTTAGTGAATATTCCCCTATATAACAATGTTTGGCATTTAGTGAATATTACCCCATATGTTTGGTATTTAGTGAATATTCCCCTATATAACAATGTTTGGAATTTGATTAATATTCCCCTATATAACAATGTTTGGTATTTAGTTAATATCCCCCTATATAAGAGTGTTTGGTATTTAGAGAATATTCCACTATATAACAATGTTTGGTATTTAGTGAATATTCCCCTATATAGCAATGTTTGATATTTAGTGAATATTCCACTATATAACAATGTTTGGTATTTAGTGTATTCCTCTATATAACAATGTTTGGTATTTAGTGAATATTCCCCTACATAACAATGTTTGGCATTTGGTTGATATTACCCTATATAACAATGTTTGGTAGTTAGTGAATATCCCCCTATATAACAATGTTTGGTATTTGGTGAATATTCCCCTATATAACAATGTTTAGTATTTAGTGAATATTCCAACTATATAGCAATGTTTGGTATTTAGTGAATATTCCCCTATATAACAATGTTTGGTATATTGTTAATATTCCCCTATAAAACAATGATTGGTATGGTATTTAGTGACTATTCCCCTATATAACAATGTTTGGTACTTAGTGAATATTCCCCTATATAAAAAAGTTAGGCATTTAGTGAATATTCCCCTATATTACAATGTTTGGCATTTAGTGAATATTCCCCTATGTAACAATCTTTGGTATTGAGTGAATATACACCTATATAACAATGTTTGGTGTATGGTTAATATTCCCTTATATAACAATGTTTGGGATTTAATGAATATTCCCCTATGTAACAATGTTTGGTATTTAGTGAATATTCCCCTATATAACAATGTTTGGAATTTAATTAATATTCCCCTATATAACAATGTTTGGTATTTAATTAATATTCCCCTATATAAGAGTGTTTGTTTGGTATTTAGTGAATATTCCCCTATATAACAATGTTTGATATTTAGTGAATATTCCCCTATATAGCAATGTTTGGTATTTAGTGAATATTCCACTACATGCGAATGTTTGGCATTTAGTGAATATTCCCCTATATAACAATGTTTGGCATTTAGTGAATATTACCCCATATAGCAATGTTTGGCATTTGGTTAATATTCTCCTATATAACAATGTTTGGTATTTAGTGAATATTCCCCTATATAACAATGTTTGGAAATTGATTCATATTCCCCTATATAAGAGTGTTTGGTATTTAGTTAATATTCCCCTATATAAGAGTGTTTGGTATTTAGAGAATATTCCACTATATCACAATGTTTGGTATTTAGTGAATATTCCCCTATATAGCAATGTTTGGTATTTAGTGAATATTCCCCTATATAACAATGTTAGGCATTTAGTGAATATTCCCCTATGTAACAAGTTTAGTATTTAGTTAATATTCCCCTATATAACAATCTTTGGTATTGAGTGAATATACACCTATATAACAATGTTTGGTGTATGGTTAATATTCCCCTATATAACAATGTTTGGAATTTAATGAATATTCGCCTATGTAACAATGTTTGGTATTTAGTGAATATTCCCCTATATAACAATGTTTGGTATTTAGTGAATATTCCACTATATACGAATTTTTGGGATTTCGTGAATATTCCCCTATATAACAATGTTTGGTATTTAGTGAATATTCCCCTACATAACAATGTTTGGTATTTAATGTATAATCCCCTATATAACAATGTTTGGCATTTGGTTGATATTCCCCTATATAGCAATGTTTGGTATTTAGTGAATATCCCCCTATATAACAATGTTTGGTATTTAGTGAATATTCTCCTATATAACAATGTTTTGTATTTAGTGAATATTCCCCTATATAACAATGTTTGGAATTTAATTAATATTCCCCTATATAACAATGTTTGGTATTTAGTGAATATTCCCCTATATAACAATGTTTTATATTTAGTGAATATTCCACTATAAAACAATGTTTGGTACTTAGTGAATATTCCCCTATATAAAAAAGTTAGGCATTTAGTGAATATTCCCCTATATAACAATGTTTGGCATTTAGTGAATATTCCCCTATATAACAATGTTTGGCATTTAGTGAATATTCCCCTATGTAACAAGTTTAGTATTTAGTTAATATTCCCCTATATAACAATCTTTGGTGTATGGTTAATATTCCCTTATATAACAATATTTGGTATTTAGTGAATATTCCCCTATATAACAATGTTTGGGATTTAGTGAATATTCCCCTATATAACAATGTTTGGTGTATGGTTAATATTCCCCTATATAACACTGTTTGGTATTTAGTGAATATTCCCCTATATAACAATGTTTGGCATTTAGTGAATATTCCCCTATATAACAATGTTTGGTGTATGGTTAATATTCCCTTATATAACAATGTTTGGTATTTAGTTAATATTCCCCTATATAACAATGTTTGGCATTTAGTGAATATTCCCCTATATAGCACTGTTTGGTATTTAGTGAATATTCCCCTATATAGCAATGTTTAGTATTTAGTGAATATTCCCCTGTATAACAATGTTTGGTATATGGTTAATATTCCCCTCTATAATAATGATTGGCATTTGGTTAATACGAAAACACAGTATAGAGAGCGCACATCAAAAATAATGCAGTGGAATTTCTAGAACAGTGTCCCAAACTTAGTTTTCCACAAGAAAAATAAATTAGAAAGCTGCTGAATACAGTAAAAAACCTTCCCAAGTTTTTAAAACATCTAATAAGACACAAAATAAAAACAAAATTAATATCAGCGCTAAGTGAATATACGCCTATATTATAAACACAGGGTTCAGCCCAAAAATGTCTTGTCCGAAAAAGAGTTCCAATTTCAGTTTTAATAGAGGGTACTTCCAAGCAATTCACAGGGATTAGTTGCTGCAACAGTAGCATATACATAAAATCTGTGTCTTTATTTGTGTTCGGGGCATTCTCATATGATATAGACTAAGATGGGTTGTAGAGATGTAGCTTTAGGAATAATCGGTTGAGGTGTGCCGAAACCGACGTATGCTGTAAGCCGGTAAAAAGTGGGCAAAAAGAGACATATTAATGCAAAACATTATACAGGATCATAGTGCATTTGTTAACCATCAGTTAGACATTTTAATGAAAGCGTCCTAATTCCTGAATCGGCTGTGGGATGCACAAGCCTATGATTCCCAGCGGCCCCGTGTCTTAACGTGTGCGGGGATGTCTTGGCTATGGGCTGTGTAAGCTGCTCCTATCCAAAAGGAGTGCCCTGAGTAGTCGCTAGGGTTTAGTTCGAGCACGATGAATGAGTAGGTGGACATAGTGCATGAACTTACCTGTGGTAAGGACAGTATCGTACAGCGACAGTAATGGTTCAGTGGTGCGTATGGTGGCGTGCCCAAGAACTTAATCAGTACCTTAACCGGGCACCCAGCATTGCTTGTAAGGTAGTAGGTTATATGCACTGGCTCGCCCCTCTGACTCATCTTAGT